TGGATAGCTCTCTAAATACGTTTTCAGAAAATAATTTATTGTGAAGGCGGGCACTGTTTGCAAATACAAGGCACTGCAGCGTATAGAATTCCATATTATTCCGTTGAAGTCTTCTGTATGTATGTATGTATTTCATGCCCCCAATCCACAAGCTCTCATACAATTGGCAGCATTTTCCGTTCCTGTTAGTTTCTCACCTTCGCTCTGACAAAAGGATGAGAATAGCAGATGCAGCCTAAATAAATGTGTGATTTCTTGAAGAAGAATCACCATTAGGTTATTGGAGCTGTTAATAACCTTAGGGGCGGCAGTAGCTCAGTTGGTAGAGCATTCGCCCACTGATCTGAAGGTTGGCGGTTCGAATCCAGCTCTCGACATAAAACATCACAGGTTGAGCGGTCAGATCCACTGACCCACAGGTTGGCTGGTGTGATTCCAGCTCCCACAGATGAATGCTGCTGTTGTGTCCTTGGGCAAGACACTTAACCCACCTTGCCCACAGTGTCTGCGTACACTGGTGTATGAATGTGTGTGTGAATGGGTGAATGGTTCCTTGTTGTAAAGCGCTTTGAGTGCCTTGAAGGTGGAAAAGCGCTATAGAAAAATGTGACCATTTACCATTTACCATTTAATTAAACTGTTAGAAAAACAATAGGAGGCATGGAGAGATGTTTAGGCCTATTCAAAATATCACTTACATCTTTGGTGACATCTTTGTATTTGTAGAATAAAAAGATAAGACAATGTGTAGTGTTATTTACGTTACTGGCCAATAATATTTAAAGGTGGATCATTTTTCTCGCGGAAGGGTCCGACAGTATGACATGAAATAGCTTTGCATTACATTGATTACATTTTGTAGATTTTTTTTAGCTCAAAAATACACAGAAAAACAGTACAGATGTAACAATAACCAAAATATCCTGAAATTGTATCATCAAAAGTTTCACAATAATATCGTGGGCTGTCACAATATATCGAATCACAAGTTTCTTTGCTTAAATACATGGTTTTATAGAAGTAACAGTTTATAAATATAGGCAACTACATATCCCATGATTCATTTCAGCACAGACAACACGAAGAGATATGTTTTTAATTGAATTCTTGGGTCAAGGTATTTTAAAAGCAAAAAAAGTGTCCTATCTATCATTTAAAATATAACAATAAATATCGTACCGTGAGATTTGGATATCGTTACATCCCTAAAAAACAGGTATTCTGACTGTGAGTGGGGTTGCCTCTCCTCACATTTAACCTATAACTTGGTCTGTTTTGGTCTCCATGAAGATAAACACACTGTGAAACTTTCCAGACAAAGCAAAAAGAAGAGAGAAAGAAGAGAAATGGATTTGACGGAACCTCCAACAGAAAGGTTATGCAGCTTTAACACAGATGTGGGCAGCTAAAAATAATATTGTTAAAATGTTTATTGTAATACAGTGAGTTTAAAGGTCTAGCCCCTGACAGAAATGATCAGGTTCCACATTTGTGTATTCGCCTTTTGGATATTACACGGTAAAATACAGTGCAATCAATAGTTAAATCTATCTCCTGCCCCCATTTGGGAGTATGATATCATCACATTATAGCATCTGAAAAAAAAAACAGTTGGTGATGTAAGACCCATTTTTGTCTATTTAACATTCATTTGCCTGACCAGCCGGCCAGTCCCTCCTAAATTCTATTTAAAACTCGAAATTGGATCATGAAGAAAGTCAAACAACCATCTTAACTTGGAACAAAATCAATCAAAGCCGCTAATTTGTAGTACGCAAATCTCTCAAATATGTTACCTTGGAAAATTCTCTTATCATTCATCATCCAAAATATTTAGCTTCTTTTACTGGAGACACACAAGAGTTTTTGCTTTGATAGCTGATTCTGCAGAAATCCATTCTATGCTCTATCATTTTAGTTATTTTATTATTTATTTTTATTTTTTACTTGTAAGCCAGCATGTTTCTTTTGCCACAAATGGACCGTGTGTTTCTCTGATTGGTTTATCCGCCTGTCAGTCATGCCCACTGGAAACTGGCAGTGGTGGAAAGTAACAAAGTAAAAGTAGTAAAGTACTGCACTTAGGTTAAAAAAAAAAAGTAGGTATCTGTGCTTTACTTTTACAGTAGATACTTTTACTTGACTACATTTTAGAGCAGGTATCTGTACTTTCTATTCCAGTACATTTTTAACTGGACTGAAAAGTAAAAGTATTCCTTATGATAATTTATTTTGAACACATTTGTAATTTGAGCAAACACAAATATACAAATCAAAACAGTTACAAGAAAACAACACCTTAGCATTCAATCCTTTCTGTTTAACACAATTCAGCACAAATCTTTATCAAAATCTCTATATATGAAATTTGATCAGATCTCCAACTCTGTGCAAAATACTTTTACTTTTTACTATTTAAGTACATTTTAAAACTAGAACGTTAATAGTTTTACTTAAGTAGATTTGTTCATGTGATACTTTTACTCTTACTTGAGTATTTTTTTTGCTCTGCTAGATGTACTTTTACCTTAAGTATCAAACTTGAGTACTTCTTCCACCACTGGAAATTGGGAAAACAGGATTGTCAAAATGTGTGGTTTTGGCTGTCCCGGCAAGGTATTCACAAGAAATATCTGAAATGTAAATTAGCAGAAGTTAAACCTGATCATTTCATATTGCAACTAAATTACAGCTGCTATATAACAACAGAAACCTAGCCTACATTTTAACATTTAACATCAAATCAAGTCTGTCTGTCCCTGTATGTATCATAAATTATTAGGCTGGAGAATGTTGTCGTGTCATCTGAAACCTATAAAACACGCAAGCAGATAATTAGAGCTACAACTAAAGATTACTCCGCTAATAGATTAATCTTGTTATTATTCTTTTGATTAATCAAACTTGTTTCAGCCCTGCACATTATCATATTGTTCCATGGTGTGAGTTATCCAGCTGTCCTTGGCTGGCCTTTCATAACTTAATTAGCCTAATACAAGTCCGTCTGAGGCGTTAAGTGTGAAAACTTGATTAGGCTCTATAAGTACATTTTCCTCCGGGTCATTTTCTGCCTGTCTCAAACGAAGCCACAATTACTTTGAGAGCATTAGGCCCGTCTGGTAAAACTCAACCTGCAGCCGTCTTATCCCACCCAGAGAAATCAACAACACATACTGTACATACATTACACTAAATAAATGTACAGAAAATCGTTAATTATCTTCCTAAAATAGGCATATAGGCTACACAGAAAAACAAATAATGTTTTTGGTGTTGGGTAAACATGGTAAGTTGACACGAAGAGTAATGGATTGTCCCTGCCCTCGGAAGTCTAGAGGCCTTGAACCCTATTTTTCTATTAGAGGGGGCCTGTGAGCATCAATGCCCCAGGCCCAACATGTGGATGGAGCTGCTTGCAAATAAATGCTCATACATATTCAATAACTTATTTTCCTTCCTGTTACTTTGATGCAGGAGGCTCAGAGACTGGCCTGGGACCTAGAAAACACACTTCTCCCATGAGTCTGGTCACCGTTGAATATCCCTGCGTTCAGATGGGTGTGATTGACGGGTGGATCTGCGACACACATGGTCTGTCTGTATATAAACAAATATGGCTGCTTAGGGACTTACAAGGGACTGAAAAACACTGTGGATTTCTGTAGAATCAATGAGAAAAGCACTGAACACTAAACTTTTTGCAAAATAAACTTTTTGCAGAATAATAGATGACCACATTTCACATGAGTCACTGGAAAAAAAAAATAAATAAATAAATAATAAAATAAATTGCAGTGCTGTGTTTGAGGGACTAGGAGCAGGGGTCAGACTAATATCCCCCTATATAAAAAATACATAGATATATAATTCTGGACTATCTATGGATCTATAATTAGCCTACAGCATTACATTTAGGACCACATAATTTTTGACTAATAATTTCTGTTAAAAATGTTAGGCCAATTTTTTTTTCCCTGGGAGTCACTGTGATATTTTGGTCTAAAAGTATGTGAAAGACCAGTCACATGCTTAGCCAGATAAGGCCCACTGGGGTGCGGGTGTCCTGACCCGGGGTGTCCACTAGGTTCACTGGCATCTTATAATCAGTCTTGTTATTACTGGGTGACCAGATTTTCAGAATCAAAAACTGGGACACATCCAGTTTGGAGTGGTCAGTAATATATAAAATTGTGAAACGAGGTAATTAAGGAAAATTGTTCTTCACTCGGTACATTCATGACTAACGTGTGAGTCAGTATAGTGACGTTTTCTTTGTGCTTTGGTGATTTTAAGCAGCTTTTTTTTCCTGTATTTTACCTGAACAAGTGACAATTTATGTCTCTCTTTACTGTTGGCAGGCATCAAATTGATCAAAAATAGGGACACCTTGTATAAAACTGGGACTAATCAGTGGTTTTGTATAAATCTACATCTTACTCGATAATACTCCCTACAACTACACAACACAAACTGATGTACCAAAGCTGTGATTCATATTTTATTACTATTTCAGTTTTATTTTGACTTCTACATTTACATTTATAATAATAAAACTTATTTCACAATTGTCTCTTGCTATCTTTTTAGCTACTTACTTAGAATTTTTTACCATTTATATTTTCACTCTTTGTTATTATATTATATTGTGATGTGTGAGCTACTGTGTCATAATGAATTTCGCTTGCGGATCAATAAAGTTTGTCAAAGTCGAAGTCAAAGTCTAAATTTGTTGGGACAGGGGACACAGGGGACAAAACTGGGACTGTCCCGGGTAAATAGGGGCCATGTCACCCTAAGTAATTACTTTGCCTAATATAAATTCAGTTAGTTTATGCCCCACAGTGAAGACAAAGAACTTCATAGACTTCTTACCTGGTCTCCACCTCCATTTGCGCAGAAAGATCTTGAAAATCCTAGCTCCCAACATCACCTGAACGCGCCTGTGAAATGCATGAACACACCGGCGCTCGCGCTGCCTCGTGCTCCGCTTTTTAGGGGAGCTGAAGGATAAAGAACGAACTACAGACTGGTTGGACGTGGTAGACTTATACTTTAATGTCTGTGCTTTCTGTGGAGAGGCAATCATTCGCCTTTAGCTTTATAAATTCAACATAATACAGCAGGAGCCAGAGGTTTCCAGATGTGCGCCATTAGCCTTAAATCTATATATTAGCCTGTCTAGCCACGTGCCATTAAGTGCTCGACCTGATGTAGCTAGGCTTGTTGGGCTGGTGGTCATACTGTTCAACATGTAAGCTAAATATCTAAATTGTCCATAGGTTTAATTGAATGTGAGAAGTACTTTTTTCCACCAAAACACAGCCTTAGTTTAGATAGATACGCACGAGCACCAAGTGAAATGCTAAAACACTTTTGCTCCATATTCGCTCTTGGTTTGAGTAAGGGACTGAACCAATTATAGATGTGGATTCTAACTTGTTTCGTTTTTTTTGCATAGTTGTGCCCCCAGACTTAAAAAAAATGATTCAACTAAAAACTTGGAGAGGGAGTCGAGCACGTTTTGTTCAGCTGGGTTCTAGTTAATTATGTCCTTACGCAGTGGTGGCGGTGACATGTTGCTCACCGGCGCTAGGTCGTATCCATTCATGCCTCTCTTCTTTTTGGCCTAGACCACGGAGGCTGACAGAGCTGATAGGCAGAGAGAGACCAGGAGAAACGCCGAGCGAAGCCACGGGATCCATGCGCAGTATCTCCCCTCACCAGCGCAGCGCGGACACGAGAGGAGCAGCAGAGGCAGAGCGGCTGTGGAGCTGCTGCTGGTACATCTTTCCACGCACACTTTGAAGCGCACATCCAGCCGACAGCATCTCCGTTTTACCTCCACAAAAGGACCACTGACTGCAGCGGCGGTGGATGTATTCGCGCCGGAGCTCTCTGGGTAGGTTTGGAGCGTGACGCGGAGCAGGCAGCTGGAGAAGGCATCCGTGCACGTTTACAACAGTGAATGCTCGGGATTGTGGGTCTTTCTTTGGATATTTTCGTAAAACTCTCCGGACTAATTGCGCCGAATTGAGTAACGCCACGGTGATTGTACTCGTGAGCTTTCCAAGTTTGGATACGCGCACTGCTGGAAGTTTATGCACGCTGCCTCGGACAAGACCGCGACAGCTACTAGCAGGTCAGTATTTTGATTAAATAATCTTTACTCACACTATGTATCCATCTGTTTTACTTCATATGCTGAGGATATGGCGTTGGAGTTTAATGTGGTGCACATCGTTGTTCCATACACATCCAGTGTCATTTTGTGAAAGCGTATTGGGTTATCATTAAACGACAGATATTGAGAACTGCATTACAGTTAAATTTACTTTTCCTTGCCCATGCCACGCTTTCTTCTTATATTTCAATGCGTAAGGAAAATCGTGATTTATTATCATAAGGACTAGGCTATCTATAGGTTTGAGGCGATGCGAGATTTGAGTAACACATTATAACGTGTAGTTGGGTTGTTTTACGTACAAATAGTGTCACTATTGTAGTTTGTATACAAAGCATACTTGTTGTAATCCACATAATGTTATTGCAGGTAAATTACCAGTCAGCTCACCATTGCATGCTGGTAATATTTACCTCCAGTGAGTGTGGGAACTTAACCTTTCTCAGCGTGTATCACCTCTCACCTCATCAGGACATTATCCCTCAAAGGTAGTGTCATGGCCATTGTCCACATTGTGAAAGTAACTCATACAATGCTTTATGTCCATCCTTTTTATTTACTGTTAGAATCGCCTACCAGCTAAGTGTACGCTTCTATGTGGTGCTGTACAGCTCCACTGAGCCTCCGTGGGACATGTGCCCTCACATCTTTAAGGCTGTATTTATGACATCAGTATGAAGTCCCAGTATGACAACTGCAAGATAGATGTGTACTCTGCAATTTTGTAAAATCAGATTTAGTCTTTTTTCTATACTACTGAAAACCCCTGATTGAAAAATTAGCTTTGACTCATCTCCTTTATATTAATTATATCATAACCCACTCATGCGACTTGTGTCAGTGACTTAACTCAAAGACGAGAGCGATAGGATTTCAGTGTCGCATCACCCAGGCTACACACAATCTGCAAATACACACACTGCACGTCCATATGATAGCCCAGAAGGACAAGTCTATCTGTCGGCATAAATTGATTCATGCATTTGGTGCTGAGTGCTTTGAGGAACTGGAGAAGTTGAGTCCATTGTCTCTTTCTTACTCTGTGTCTGCCCCCTTGTATCTCAATGTTTAATCTAAAGGAAATTCTTCTGCTTGTGACATGAAGGATGTAGTTTAAATAGTTATAATGTATAAGTTGTTAATGTATCACTATTATTGATCCTGAGAATCTTTCTGAGGAACAGTCTTATCCCACTTTCATTTAAACTGTCCATTCAACTAGTCAACAACAGATGTTCAAGCAAACTCAGAAATGTGTTATTTTTTTGTTATTTTGTGTTCCAGGCTTCGTGTTTGGGGGTTGCACTATATACAGAGAATTTTGTGTAATTTGGTGATAATGTTGCATAGCTTTGACTATGCTGTGCTTCATTAGTAATGCCAAATTACTGATCACTACCAGTGAAATCAGGAGCTAATGAGCTGAAAATATAAAAGTGCATACAATTAACTATAAGGGTAAATGAAACAACAAAAACAAAAGCTCCAGAAGGTCGATGTGCAAATGTCCTTTTATAGTATTTATATTTCTGTTGCTGGAGAGGAATTCATTGCAAATTCTGTTATTATGCTCCTCTACTATGGGGGCTAATAGGAAGGGCATCGGACTCAGTAAAAGGCTACCGGGTCAGTATGGGACTGGCTTCCGGGGTGACACCTGACGACAAAGAGTAGCAGGCAAATGTGATTCTATGAAACATGCATGTATACCACAAAGACTCACGTAGCTGTTCGAGGAAAGCTCTGAGTGACTACACCACAATCTTTGATAAATGCCGCGTGTTTTTAGTGGAAAAAGCTCTATGATAACAGTGCTCTGGTGAATAATAGCCTGTCCACACATTTGCACAGTGGTATCCTGAAAAGGTGTACTTAAGTATTCACTCTGTAACTCTGTGACTTTTTTTCTTATCTTGTTTCTTAAACTAGACTGCTCAATTTTTGCGATGATAATGTTTTGAATGCTTTGTTATATGTTGCTGACTTTATTTTTCTTGAAATAATTTAATTGAATCTGAATGTTAATAAACTTTGTACCCAACAACGTAATCCCATGATTTATACACTTTAATCTTTTCCCTTTTTACTATTCCAGTGGTGATTTTAATAACGACATGTTTCCTTTAGGGATCAATCTTGCCTTAAACACTTGTACATATTGTAATCATAATGACTCCTCTTCTTATATCAAAACGACTTGTTCTGAAGCACTGGGAGATGCACTAAAATATACTCGCTTATTACTGTCCCACTGTGGCTGCCGGTGACCTTATAAATTATAACATTTGATATGGATATCAGAGCGGTCCAGGCAAACACGTGAAGGTTAATGCAGCCCGACAAACTCTGCACAGTTCCCACGGCTCGGCGGATGGCTCGCGTGTCATATTTGCTTTACATAATTGCTGCCCTCTAATCTGTTACTATTAGCACGTACACACACAAGCCTGCATAGCTATTGTCGACACACTCCCTTGTCTGTGACCTGTGCTACATTTTCCTTCAGCTCCCTTGCGTACTGGCAGACATCATGATAAATAGTCTGTGTGGAAACCTAAGCCTCGCCGTGGCCCGTGAAGCTTTGAAGGTCTTTAAAATGCAAAAGAACAACGGCTGGAACTCCAATCGCCAAATGTCCGTTTGTTCAGCCATGAGTACGTGATAATAAAGAAGTGATATGATACATAGATAGCAGAAATTCAGCACCATGCCAAATTATTGTTGAAAGTCACCCTAAGGTTTTAGGAGGAGGAGAATGCGTGCTCTTGAAATGTGCTTAGAGAAGGGATATTTAGTGACAGCATGTGATGCATTACCGCTGGGGTCCTTAACTACATTGTATGCGGCACCAAAAGGAGAAAAAAAAAAAAGAAGTAAAATGCCATAAAGAAGGAGAAATGGAAGTATAGCGGCTATGTACAGTTATTTTTTTACATGACGCTTCGAACTGAATGTAGTACTTCTGTGATTTTAAATGAGAAGAATAATGGATTAATGATTGCAATCTTTTTTAGAGCAACTAACATGAGAGAGGTAATTTTATTAAGCACTTTTATCCTTTTATCCTTCACAGGCAGACAATAAAGGTTTGCATTAAAGGAAGTCAAGGCAATAAGTACTTATAATCAACTTCATATATTTAATGTGTTATCAGCGATTTGAATTGGCTTGATAAAATAATATTAATTAAAACCTCACTTGTTTTTTGTTGTTTGTTATGGAGTTCTGGCTTCCCTACTCCACTAAAGACATAACCACAAGAGCACCAAATCTTGAGTAAAGGACCCTTAAAGCCATAATTATCTGATTAAGAAAAATTTGCAAAATTGGGCTACCTTGACTTGACTGAAAATGTCAGTATTTTGTTATTTAGCATTATTTTTTAAACATATTTTTATTGTTAATGACTTTAAACGTCACTACATACAGGATGTTTGACCCACTTTTGTGCAGAATACATTTGATCTCTATAGGCTGCTGTGCTTTCCAAATTCTCCTATGAAAATACAGTCTGTGATAATACAGGTGATGTTGATGATAGACTCTCCTCCACCATCTGTGGGTGAATTTGGATTGAACTTAGAGATGGAAATTAGAGAAGAAGTGTTCTCAGTAGAGCGTCAATATAGCACACCTTATGGCTGCTACTCTGCATGACCTAATGTGTTGTGTAGAACATAAGGAGATTTCTGTACCTCATTGCATTTGCCCTGTGTTGATATGTTGTTTGTAATATCATGTTTGCGTCTTCACAAGACTAAAAGTAACCCAAACCAGTACTGAACCAGTAGCTAGTAGTTTTTGGTGCAATTTTGACTGCTGTAGTTAAAGCGTGTTGAGATGAAAGCCGGCTGCCATTCTCCACAGCATTCTGTCCTGCTGGTTCGGCTAGGCCAGGGAACCGCAACACTCCGCTCCGTTGTAACCCACAGATTAACATTTATGACCCTACATGCTCCACTGGACTTTGTGGGTCATGACCAAGTGGCAAGAGTGAGGTGTGGGCACTGGGCAACACTCTGGAGCTATTCAAGGTTTTTCTGCTAGCTTTGCCTGTTGGTGGAAAGTCAAAAAGACATATGTTGAGCTGTGTCGTAATAAGAACAGAATAAAAATATTCCTGCAATATTTTTAAAGGTGACATATTGTAAAAATCATTTTTATGAGCTTTAAATCTATGTTCCCCCATTATTATCATAGTTAAGTTGTATTTCTGATTGATATATGCATGTTTAGAAAAATTCTGCTTTCACATAACCCCTATTCCTGTCCAGTTTCTGGTGCTTACTTGTGACTCTGAGTTATACATGTAGGGCTTGAATATACCACGTAACCCTTTGTTAATAATAAAAACACAATGCCATTCTGAAGAGGCGGGACCTCTCAGTTCTGTAGAAGTTATTAGACCTTTTACAATTAACTTACTGTAAAATTATGGTTATTTCTTCTCATAGCATGTTAAGATAGGAATAATTGATTCTAGGCTACATGCCATTTAAACAGTTACTTTAGTGTATTTAATTTTTGTAAGGCAAATTAGAATATATTAGGTACTTTCAGATCATTTGGCAACCTTACTGCACTTATACAATATTGTGTAATTGTGTAATGCATTTACAAAATGATAAAACCACAGCAAAAAGAGAATAATATGAAAATGCTTTGCAAACATTTTTGAACACAAAATTTGTGTCTGTCGTGCTGTCTTGTTAAAAGCTCACAAAAGCAATATTAGAGCCTGATGGATTGGGAGAATGGCTTGGACCTGCCATGTGCCTCAGGTCAGCTCTTTTGTGGCCTGTAGACAGCCCAGTGGGGAGCAGGGCGTCAGCTATGCTTGTCGATGGACTTGGTTGACGGCCTCAATAATTCAGTTGACGCAACCTCTGATACCCAGCGCCACAGGGTTGCAGCGAAGAGGCCAGTGCTCCGGTTCGTGTGGGAAGCTAGTCAGCAAC